TATTGGTTTTTCTTTTCTTTTCTTTTTTTGAGACAGGGTCTCATGGTGCCTAAGCTGGTTCCTGGATTTACTATGCAGCAAAGTTTAACCTTGAATTTCTGGTTCTCCGGCATCCAGCTCCCTGGTGCTAGGATTATAGGTGTGCCCTGCCATTCCCAATGTAAGATGTCAGAAAAATCTTCAGAACCCTCATAAGTTCTTCTCTCATGGAAGAACACTGTCTCCAAAGGTGATGGGGAATTAGATTAAATCCACCAACCAAACCAAAAGACAGATGCTTACACTTTTAACCCCAGCACTGAGGCAGAAGCAGGTAGATCTTTGAATCTGAGATCAGCCTAGTCTACAGAATGAGTTCCAGAACAGCTAGGGCTACACAGACAAACCCTGTTTTTAAAAAGCAAATCAAATACAAATAAACAGTGGTGGCACTGGAGGTGGACCTACAGATTGAAAGAACCCCGGTGGCTCAGGCCCCCGGGATTTTGGCCCAGGACCTTGGCGACCCTAATCACCAGGCAGAGGTGAAAGCTTGATGCAAACAGAAGAGGCTTTATTTGCAGTTGTTTAACAAACTAACCCCATTAGCTCAGGCCTTTCATCCAACCACCATGGTGGATGGCTGGGGAAAGACCCCCGAGAAACCATGGGACAGAGATCTTATAGGACTAGGGTAGCATAAGGGGAGTGTCTAGGGGTAAGCACAGGCTCAGTATTTCTGTGCCTCCAGGTTTGGAGGACTTGCCCTGTGTTGATTGGTCAACTGGTTGTTATGACCCACAGGCCCTCCCAGGGTGATTGCTATGCCCTGCATGTCATTGCTGTGCACTTGTCCTTAAAGCACACCCAGAGCCGTAAAGCATAGCATAGCACCACCAGCTAACTTCTGATTGGTTCCTTGCCATGAGGCAGGAATCTGACCTCCGAGTGACCAAGTCAAGGTCAGGCAAGCACGTGTTAGGCTGCTGAAATGGGGAGCTAGTCCCTTCAGGATGACTATTGGGTTGTTACAAAAGAAGGAATTGACCTGTGTGTAAACTTAATTTTGTTCTCAACATCCTCCTGTAATATGCCAAGGTCAGAGTCTCAAGTCAGTGATTGGATAGTCTTTGTGTTTGTTTACTGCTGGTGAATCTGTCTCACATTATAACAAAGCCTGGGGAGACAACAGTGCCCAGCAAAAACTGATAGCATGGTCTCACTTACATTTTATATTTTTATGGTTTTCTGTTGTTAGACCCCTGAAAACTCAAGTATCCGGGGTCTCAGGCCAGGTTCGCGGTCACCCCAATCACCAGGTGGATTCGAGAGCTTGCTGCAAACTGCACGAGGCTTTATTGTAATTTAACGAGCTAACCCTATGTTAGCTCGGGTCTTTCACCCACCTGCCATGGCGGACGGCTAGAAAAGACGGCTCCTACGGGCTCCCAAAAGATCTTATAGGGCAGCGTAAGGGGAGTGTCTAGGGGTACACACAGGCTTACGCACAGGCTCATGATTGGTGTGCTTCCAGGCTTGGAGGGCTTGCCCTGTGTTGATTGGTCAACTGGTTGTTATGGCTCATAGGCCCTCCCAGGGTGGTTGCTATGCTCTCTACGTCATTGTCGTGCGCTTGTTGGTAAAGCACACCCAGGGTCATAAAGCATAGTGCCACCAGGTAACTTCTGATTGGCTCCCTGTCACGAGACAGGCATCTGACTTTCTAGGGTCTAGGTCAAGGTCATAGAAGCCCATGTTCGACCATTATGGCTGCCAAAAGGGAAGCCGGTTCCTTCACTGTCATTAACTGGAAATAACTACAATGTTTTAACTTATTAATGGGAAGTTTTCTTCCAAGATAAATGTTTTAAATAAATAGTATGTGTGTGTTTAAGAAGAATATTGCTTATTCATGATACAAGTTGGGGGGGGGGAGTTGGCCAGCAAATGGGTGGTATGAAAAGACCAACGCTTGGGAACCACTGGGCTAAGAGAAAGATTGGGACATTCCATTGCCAAATACCTCATCTAGGGAAATGAGCTGCAGGCAGGCACACGTGGCAAGCCGATGGCTTCCAGATGTAGAGTTGGAGGCTGTATTGGAAATAGGATAGATAAAGGCAAGAGGCGAGCCCATATGTGGCTTATAATGTGGAGGACATCCAAGTTGCTCTTGTCCAAAGTGGCAATATGGCAGAGCTGAAGTTTTCTCAGGCCTGAGTTCTTCCCAGGGGAGGGATGAATTGAAGATCTTCTGAGAGAACATGGCATGTGCAAATGCCTGACTGACTTCCCAGAGTCACCTGGCCATGGATTGCTTTTGTCACAGTGCCCATCTAAACACCCATCTCTAGAGCAGCTGTTCAATAAAGAATTCAAATGTGATAGTCCAATCACAGGGTACCATTTTCGAATTAGAGCTGTTTATTGCATATTTCTGTAGATGGTACCAGAGGCGTACATCAACTCTGAACTCCTCCAACTGGCCTCTCCCGATCACTCTCATTGTCTTTCCTTCCCCTGTGTTTCTCTTTCACTTTTCTCTCTCCTGCATTTTATGACACCTTAGACAAGGTCCACTCTGTCCATTTTATTTCACATCTGTGCACATCAATTTTCCAAGTAGGTGTGCATTAAGAATAATCTAGTAACAAAGAAGATCACATTGTGTTGTCGCCTCCTGGCTCCAGACTTTCAAACACCCAAGCTGAGCTCAGATTCCCTTTGAGTGGCTACAGGAATGCTGCTACTCAAACTTCAGAAATTGAAATGGATTCATTTCTCGGGGGCTGCGATGTCCTGATGACCTAGCCAGAGAGAAACCGCTTTTACTTCAGCAGCACTCTCTGAGGGCAGAGAGGCAATTGTTGGCCAAAGAAGCTGTCCATTTTGCAGAATCTAACCCAGACTGTTTCTGAGAGAAACTTCATTTGATAATTTTCTGATTTGTTCCCCTCCTGCCTTTTCTCTAATGGCTTCACGTTTTCTATTTCATTTCCCAATCTCGAACATCGGGATCTAAAGAGCCCCCTTTTATGGAGTGTATGCTAAAGTGCTCCTTTAGGTAATATATTTATTACCTGGAGTGAAATGGCTTTTCACAGCCAGGCAGCCTTCTGAGCCTCCTTCTACCGCTGTCTCTACCCCTGTATTTAAGAAAGTTGTTCCTTGAATTTTATAGGATAAAAGTTCTATGCCAACCAGCACAGAAAAAAAGCTGTGTGTATGTGTGTGTGTGTGTGTACATCTAATGAGCACATTTCCGCTTTTCATTTTCTTTAGATGTTCAGTGGCTTCCATATGTCTGCTGCATGCAGCTTCGTTCAACCAGTTGGGTATTACTAACCTTGGCCTTGCCTTTGATGGAGACCATGTGTATGCACTGTATCTTTCATTGGTGTTTATGCCTGAGTAGTTCCAATCTGGTATAGGAGAAGGGGGGGGCATTGGGAAGGATGTCTGAATGCATGTTTCCATCTTGCGGCATCCCTGACAGAGATGTCAGGCTGTCAGTATCTGTGCAAGAGACAACCCTTACTAGATTGACTCTGTCATGGAGACTTCCTTTTATGACTGGTCTGTTCACTCCACCCTGCCACCAGGATACACATCCCACGTGGTCAGGCGGTTCTGATGCTTTCTATATTCTGGTTCTGTTGATAATTTATTTTACTTATTCTTTCCTGCATTGAGAATTGGCAGTCCTGTGGGTACCAGGGGCGTGGGTAGAATAACATTCATTTGTTGGAAGTCCATTTTCACATATTGCCACAGTTTGGGGAGTAAAGTGAATATGCATTCAATTTAGTGAGCCCCCTAATCTCTGGTACTTGAGGCCAGCTTTGTGAGATAAGATGAAGGATTTCATGAAAGCTTCCCCTTCTCTCTGGGGATTGGACATTGGCACTGGCCCATGTCTGTCACAGCAGAGCTGCTAACAGCTGGCTGGAGATGACACTACAGATGCAAGCATTGGGCAGCCTGACTTTACAAATCTCAAGTAGGCACCCGCCCCCTCACCACTCGCCACCACCTCTCCAATAACATACCCAAAAAGACTGCCTTCATGTCTTTCTCGTGGAAAGGAAGGTTTGCCACTCAGCAGGCACAAAGAACAATTTCAACTCTTGTTAAAAAAAAAAAAAAATGGTTGCATAGTGTCATTTATGTCCAGAGAGACCATTGTGGCTTTATTTGTGTTCTTCATTATTTGCATGACCGTGTTTAAATGGAAAAGTCTTACTGTAATTAAGCAGTGCCTTTGTTTATATTGGAAAGTGTATAAATCCTTTGCCTTCTAACGTTCTCCACAGTAACTGTGGAAGGATGGCAAATCCCCCTGCTTGTATAACATTAAATATCAGTAAGATGCATCAGTACTTAGGGGTAGGGTGAGAGATTTACTGAGCTTGAAGCCCTGAGACAACTGTGGCGTGTAAAAAGACAGCTCAGGCAGCATTCCCTGTACCCACAGCCCAATAGCAAGAGTGTATTTAGGTACTAGGGAAATGACCCTGTGGACTTTTGGAGTCACCAACCCTTTATTTCACAGTTGAGTGTGTGTGTGTGTGTATGTGTGTGTGTGTGTGTGTGATGTGCAGAGGCCACAGGATGGCATCTGAGTCTAGATGAATGGCCAATGTCTTCCTCCTCTATCATTCTCCTTCCACCACACCAGTGTCAAGGTTACAGATCAGTGCCAACCACACCCAGCTTTTTTGTGGGTGATGGGGATTCAAACTCAGGAACTCATGACTGCAGAGCAAGTAAGTGCCTTACCCACTGAGCCATGTCCGCAGCCCCTTACAGATGATCTTTTAAAGTCAAGATATATAGCAAAGTCTGGAGGGAATGGTAATGGAAAACATTGTGCTTCACTGGAGAAGGGCAATGCAGCCAAGGGGAAGGCAAGCCCATGGAACTTTCTGAAGTAGAGTGAAATTGTCGCATGATGGTTCCCAAACTAAGTTTCTTTCTTAAGTAAGATTCGTTCTTTTTTTTTCTCTCTCTCTCCCTGATAGCACCATCATCCATTGCTTTGGTCCAGGCTAAAGAAGTCACAAGATACAGTGTGGCTCTGGCTTGGTTAGAACCAGATCGACCAAATGGAGTAATCTTAGAATATGAAGTCAAGTATTATGAAAAGGTATGTGTTTCCCTTCTCTCCCTCCTCACTTCCTTCTTCCCTTCCTCTTTCCTTCTGTTTATTTCTACCCCTCTGTTCTCAAGCATTAAAAATTTCTAAGTCATGAAACATCGGTAAATACCAAAATCAAATGTATCTTGATTCCCAACAAATCTGATTATGAAATGTAATATTTGGCTCATTATCTTGAAAAACACACATTATGTTCTAATATAATTGTATTTTCTTTTTAGTAAGAGAAATCAAGACCTAATCTATATACCTTCTATCATAGAGAATGACTCATAACTGCTAAAATAATGATATGTTTAAGCAGATCACTGCTGTTCACAATGAAGGTGTGGGTTTTGATGACTTTTAACAGAAAATTGGGTGAGGAAAATTGTGTTCTTCATCCCCTTATAGAAAGGCATTAATTTTGCAAATAACTTGTCTCTTAAAGGATGGAGCTCTGAAGAGAGCTCTGTGCATCCAAGCTTGTCCTGAAAAATGAACAATTTTTTTTTTTCAATACAGGGTTCTCTATGTAGCCCAGACTGGCCTTTAGCTCAGGGTTCCATATGCTGGGGTTAAAGGCATTGTCTATTGGCTTCCTTATTAGAAAGGGGACTGGATTGTTGAATAGATATCATATTACAGCATTTTTGCAATTTTCCAGACAGAAAGGGACCTTTGTGAGGGAGGCAGTATATCAATAGAAGGACCAGAAATGGGTGTAATGGTTTTCATTGCACAGTTGTGCCCCAGTCCACTGCACACTGAGGAGGACTGGGAGGGCATGCACAGGGGTGAGACTGGAATGAAGAGACAGGATGCTGATTTCAATTTCTTCCTGGTTTTATGGTATAGGGAAAACATCAACCATCATTTGACATTCTTTTCAAAATCAGATTATTTCATCTTCAATGCCCCCCAAAATTATAAATAATGATCAATGTCAACAATGACCCTGAACTCTTTCTTTTCTTTTCTTCCTTCCTTCCTTTCTTTCTTTCTTTCTTTTTTTCTTTCTACCTGTAAAAGTGACACCAGTACTTCAATACCACAAATACTGCAGAGCATTTCAGAGAACTTGGGGCTTAGAGAACATATCCAGTGTCAGGTCACTTGCTTCCACCTCTTCCCTAGAGCAGGAGAACTCATTTTTGCCATATCACTTTCCTGCTATGTAGGATCAGAATGAGCGAAGCTATCGCATAGTTCGGACGGCTGCCAGGAACACAGATATCAAAGGCCTGAACCCTCTGACTTCCTATGTGTTCCACGTGCGAGCCAGGACTGCTGCTGGCTATGGAGACTTCAGTGAGCCCTTGGAGGTCACTACCAACACAGGTAAAGAGACCCCAGACACCACCCATTCCCAGATGCTTTTATTTATAGGTTGAGCCCCCACTCTGCTGAAATCCAAAGAGCTGTGTCTAATTTTTGGCTAGGTAAGCACTTGCCTACTGTGGATATTTGCATGAAACAAGATAGCCAGTATCTACTTGTTACAAAACCCTCATGCTGTTTGGAGAAGAACATTTTTCATAACAGTTTCTTATCTGTCTTCCGATGAGTGAAAAATGATGTCAGTGTTAATCTTTTTGAACTTTCTATCAAACCATGAATAAGGGGTTTGCTAACCTGACTAGTTGAGGGTTCTCTACCCACCCTACATTAGGAAAAAGAGTTTTCTTCCTGAGAAGATTAAAGAAGGAACCAAAATTACCCTTTCTTTCCCTACTTACTTCTAGGAGTCTGTTTAAATCGTGTCATTAGTGTGCATGTATGTTTTTAAGTCCCCTGTAGAAACGTTTAAGTCACCCCGGAGAGCTGGAATGGCTAACTGAACAAAAGTTTCCTGAGTGAGAGATACCTCCTCCGTAATTACTGAGCCCAACTGGGCCTCCTTGATAAGAAGAGGGTGGGACTGAATCTTTCAACGTCTGTTACGGATATGAAGTGGTCTTATTGACACATTATTGAATGAGGTTGGAGACAGATGGGAAAGGACACTGGTGTCCTTGGTCTTGTGCTAGGTTTTGATAGCTGTGTATGGAACTTTCCAAATGTCTTTTCCACCAAGGAATGTAGTTTCTTTTCATTATATAAGATTTTTGACAAAAAGGATATGAAGACATCAAAGCGCATACTTTTAGATTCATCCCGGAGTGGTTTAAAAGTGTGTGTGTTGCGGGGGTTGGGGGGGGCGGAGCATTTGCTTAGGAGATGCTGTTGAATGGATAGCTTCAGAAAGTTGAATGTGCTACCAAGTTCCACCCCCCCAGGTGACCCTCATGTATTTGTCGTTCCAGTGCCTTCCCGGATCATTGGTGATGGAGCCAACTCCACCGTCCTGCTGGTTTCCGTCTCTGGCAGTGTGGTGCTTGTGGTCATTCTCATTGCAGCTTTTGTCATCAGCCGTAGGTAAGGACCGAAGCCCAGCCCCGTGCTTTGCAGTTTTCTGCAAGAGGCTTTTGTCTTCTCCACACAAAGCCACAGGCTTTGGAATGCCAGGGGTTGCCTTCCCTTCGATCATCTAACATCCCTCCTGGACTTTATGGCAGGAACTGGGTGGCAGCCTTCCCTATTAAAGGTCTTGGAAAACAAATGTCTGCTGGTTCTAGGAAGCCAGTGGGCAATTTCTAGATGTGTGAAGTTGTGAGGTCCTCTGGTAAGCCTGGACTCTGCACCTAAGTGCTGAGCTTATTACCATTTGACAGCTGTATTTGTTTTCTCTTATTAGATAGCAGTGGTTATTGCCCGCCTGAAAGGGTTGTTGTCAAGAACCTTTGACAGACACATTAGGTACCACAGCAACATTGCAGGAGCTTCAGCATGTTATTAGTTAACAAGAATCGTAAGGAATATGAGCACTGTGCCTCCGCATCCCTCGAAAAAAAATGTCATCATTATCTTCAGTATCTGATTGGGCAGCATATTTATCCCATGTGCATTTAAGTAACATGGTACTTGAAAGGGAGGGAGAGCTGGTGATGGCTTGCGTGGTCTTTGGAGCAATCCTACTTCTTCCTATCACCTCTGTCCAATTGTTCACACTGACCATAACGTCATGGGGTACAGCTGTTCATCGTCAACTGTACCTCACATCTGAAGCATTCCACATCCACAATTTCCCAAGGTGGGGCGTTTGTTGTGAATATGACCTTCTTCAATGTAAAGCTCTTCATGTGACAGAAGATGAAACTGATAAAAAAAAGGAAGATACAGTGCTTGTCCAATGTCATCTTGTTGCTATGATTGTAGTTAGAGCTCTAGTTGGTCCCCCAGTAGCCATGCTTACTTCTCAGACCACTTACCGGCCTGCTGGTGATCTCACCAACGTCAAAGCAATGTCTTTGGCTGCTGCCAGCACATTTGCAAGCTTTTATTACATTGAATTTAGGGTAATGAACAGCTGTGAGAGTTTGCCTGAGAGGCCCACAAGTCACATGCTAATATTGTGATCACACCCTTGCTTCCCAGAATGCTCCAGTGTACAGAGATCCATTTGTTCACTCTAATAATAGCACAATATGGAACCATGTATTGCTTTGTATGGTGTCTTTGTGTTTGTCATTGGCTTCATTCCTTTTGACAAAGTCTGTAAGTAGGTGTTTTTGACTAGAGCAGTGAGTTAAGTCCCCAAGAAGTAACAATTTAAAAGGCAATCAAGACTTTGCCTTCTTTGCTGCCATGAGATTTTGTTTACCTGAGTCATATACATGATACATTACTTGATGCATAGGAAGTGATGTGTTATCCTGAGCTCCTCTGATTGCATAGGAGAACAATGGGGATATATGGAGATTACATCAGCATTTTTTGGAATTAGTGCATATTTCAGTGTTTCGATTATAAATAGAAGAAGTCCAAAAATTGGGCGGGAAAATGAATAACATGAATGACCTCTACTTCAAAAACAGTAGCCTGAAGTCTAGCTTAGACACACATGAGTGTTCCAAGACACTTGGCATGTGAACTAATCATGTGCAATGTCTGGGGTTATTCTGCAGCTATGGTCTAGTTTTTCTGTAGATTGCCTTTCATTCTCTTTTCTCTCTCTCTTTCTTTTCTTACATAATTTTTTGTCTTCAGTGTCCCCAAACACAGCAGTCAGACTAAGCAATTAGAGATAAGTCACTCCTTTTGGCTGTTCAGCTTCAAACATCAGCTTTGATGAGAAGAAAGAAAAACCATGACACTATAATGCAGGAGACAGGGTGCTGAGCAAAACAGCATCCTCGAGTCTGAGACCTAATTTCCTTTGTGTTTTTATTGATCACATTATTATATAAAAGAAGAGTGGCAATGGGGATGCATGGGATTTCCAATTATGAGGCCACCGTCCCCCCTCAGAGAATTGAGGTTGTCGAGTTACCCAGTGATGATTTCTGCCCCTTCTCCCCCATTAAAAAAAAAAAATGTCACTTCCCAAGGCTGATAAACACTGCTTGGTGATTGGTTCTCAATGGATCACTTTTTAGAAAATGAAATGTCAGCCCCTTGCCCTCATATTGATTCTTCCTTAGTGCCAGCTGTAAAGCTGTCAGGGGAAGGGCTGCCTGGAGCCAGGTAGTTGACAGGCCTGCAGTGGGATGCTCACTCAGCTAATTCGTCTCCCCCTGCAGGCTGTCTTTTCTGTTATCTGGGACAACTACATGTGTTAAACTAGGACAACAACAGGTGAGCAGAGAAGAGACAGGGACTGCAGACAAAAAGTCAGGCTCGGGGTTTTAGTACAAATGACAGGTAGTAAGTGGTACCCCGAAATAGTCTTGGCCAGCAGTGTGAGAAAGTCACAGATGGAGCATCTGAGGCTGCCAAAGTAAGTCCTTTTCCTGTCACCCCCCTCTTGCTTCTGAAAGCCATAGAGTAGTGATGTCAGAAGGGATTATTCTAGAAACCAGGCATGTTGTTACTGGGGAAGCTGAGGCAGGAGGATTGAGAGGTGTGGACTAACCTGTGTCCATAGAGAAACAGAGTCCCTGTAAACTGAGCTGAATTTCACAGGGGCTTTGTTGTTAGCATATAAATGTAAAGTCTCTAAAGATGTAGATAGAAAAAGACTCACAGAGGGAGCTAGAAGTCCCAGAGCTTCTGCTGTCTCCAGGAGAAAATCTGTTTGTTGCTAATATGTTATTTAAGGGGAAAGTGCCTCAGGCTCACAGTTGGCATGTTGCTAGCTTTTTAAAATAGTGGTAGTGTTTATTTATTTTATTGTATTTTTGATGAGAAGCCTGCACGTAAGGTAAGCGAGATCAGCTCCAATTTCTATCAGGTTTTCTTCCTTCCTTCCTTCCTTCCTTCCTTCCTTCCTTCCTTCCTTCCTTCCTTCCTTCCTTCTTTCCTTCCTTCTCCTTCCCTTCCTCCTCCTCCCCCCTTTCTTTTTTCTTCCCTCCTTTCTCCACTTGAATGTGAACATTCAGGAATTGCTGTCAATGAACAAAATGTTTGCATTTATAGATTTAAGTATTCAACATGCCGTCAATATTAAATGCTGTCCTGCCGTGCAAAGTGGGTTGACTCAACTATGTTTTTACAACCCACATGTCAAGTAAATAAATCTTACTCTGAATTTTTTTACATTTTATTTATTGTGTATGTTTGTGTGTGTAAAGGACAATGTGCATGTTGGTTCTAGGGATTGAACTCAGGTCATTAGACTTGGCAGTAGATACCTTTATCCAGTAAGCTGTCTGGACAGCTTCTAATTTATATTTTATGGCATTGTAGGTCTGTACTTAGGTTATCATTTCAGGAAGACATCTGTCTTCCAGAGCTCCTAACTGTCTTGCTTTGTTGTAAATGTGACAGTGGGATACTGTCATGAGAACTTTTAATCTCAAGCTGGACACATATATTCCCTGAAGAGAAAACCCGAATTTCCCTATTTACATGTTTATATATTTGTGGGCTCTCATTTAACCACTTTTTCTACTGCTTTTTAAACTTCTCTTTCAAAGGGCTCTTAAGAGTTGTATCATTAAATGAAATTTGAAACCCAGAACCTCCCGGACTAATGATGTGTTCTGTAAAAAATTTGGCTGACAACTCTTCCCCTAAGATATCAATGATTTTATCAATTTACCTTTAAAACCACCCAAGCTGAACAAATTCCGATTATTTTAGACTACTCTTTTTTTCTGATATTTATTTATTTATCATGTATGTGTGTATACACACATGTTTGCCCCAACATACATGTGCAGGTCAAAGGACAACTTGCAGGGGGATTAAGTCTGAGTTCCCAGGCCTGGTAGCAAGTTCCTTTACTCACTGAGCCATCAGGCTGGCCCTCAATAGTATTTTATTGTTCAAACATGTGAAACAGTATTTTAAAATGACTAAAATAGGAGAAGAGTCCTTGGATTTTCTTTAAGGGCTTTTTGGTTAAGGCACAGCATGACCTGATAACCAAATACATGCTCTTCACAGGATGCCCTAATATTGATCGCCAGTGCTACTGGGTTTCCATTCATGTAAGAGTTATAGAATGGCACTTTCACCAGATTACAAAGAACCAAAATGATTTTAAAGAAAGCAATTTAGCATCCATGGAAAAATTTAGATATGTTTATCAGGTCCTGCAAATCAGCCTATGGTCTTTGAATACATGACATTGAATGCATGAAACAAATTTGTCTTCTACCCAAGGTTAACATTGTCCACTTTAGGGCTGACAGCTCTACCTGTGTCTACCTTTCCTTGAGCCCCTCATACTTTTCTCTGGAATGTCATGCTCACGTAGAGACGAATGAACTTAAGTGTTTACCCAAATAGGCTCTGATGACCTCATGTACAGTCACACAATTAGCAGGCAAATGATTGCCAGAGAAACATTTTTCTAAGCAACTTGCAAGCAATCACACAGGTTCAATTCCAGCTCTATCAAACTGCTGCTTGGGAGGAGTGTTGAGGCGTCTTTTGATGTGGGCCCAGTAGCAGCCTGCAGAGAGGGAAGGAGAAGGATGCAGGCTATGAATCTCTGAAGGGCTACAAGGAGCCATGCTCCTTATTACTGCTTCATTTTTAATCTGCACTTTAGTGAATAAATTACTTACCGTTTACTAATTAACTTTGGAGCAGTGTACCACATCCATCAAATCTGTCCACTTGATGGGGAAAGTTGGTATTTTGATAAAAGCTGGGTTTATGGGAGGCCCCCGCCACACTCCTGTCCTCTTATTTGTTTTATTGAGTACTCAGGGTGCCAGGAAGAGTACATTGGCCAGGAGGTTTCCTGCTGTTCCCTCTGGTGATGGTTAATGCCCTTATTAGCCAGTCCCTGGGACAGCAGGGAAGTTTGCATTCACTCAAAGTTTCACCTGCAGTGTGGGGCCCTTTGCCAGGACGCCTTCTGTGGCAAGGTTCCATGTTTCCTTCTGGACAATTCTAAGAAACCACTCCACCACTTCCCCTTGCTAATCGCCTTGTCCACGTCTTTGTAATTAGAAAATCTCCCACAAAGCCTTGCTTCAGCCATTCAGGTGATCTGTCTGGGATGTCAATTTAGACTTAGCTCCTCAGGAGGGCTCACCCAAAGTAAGCTTCAATGGTCTTTTTTTCCTGGGATAATAATGAGCCACATTGTCCCACTCCGGCTCCAAGGGGAAAGGGTCAGAGGTGACTGAGGTAGAGCAGAACTTGGGCATTTTTGTTTTCAAGGTATTATTAGAGCGTTAATAGGCTGCAATTAGCCTTTGAACAGTAATCCTCCTGTTTCTTTCTCAATATCCTCTGTCCCCTTGTAGGGTCCTCTACTCCAAATAACACTGCACATTAAAAAGATCTTTAAATGTGCACCTTGGCCACTCATTTAATTCTTCTATGTCAGCAAGACTGAGGAAAGTATGGGAGGGTTAGCCTTATCATTAATGACCTCTGCCATTTTGTATTTCCTCTGGCTTTGTCCATTGTTAATGAATGTGCTTGATGTGAAAACGGCCATCTTCATGGTTTCTTGAGGCCACTGGTTTCTATTTGTTTATATCTATTGGTTTTTTGTTTTGTTTTGTTTTGTTTTGTTTTTAAACCAACTCTTTAATTTCAAATGGATGCCGAAAGCTTGAGGCTATGGCTCAAGGGTGGGATGCTTTTCTAGCAAGTAGCAGATTCTGTGTTGGGCCTCCAGAAAGGTAAATAAAGGAGGGCCACTACTAAGGCTTTCTTGTTCTATGTATTTTCCCCCCTTAATTTTGCTATTGGTGTTCTAAAATGGTTTAAAAGATAGTCTTGTGATTTCAGATAAGGCTTTTAGAGGCCTGATAAGATAGCCTATCACACCCTGGGGACTTAGTCTTGGTGTTTTTCTAACCCAAAACATGGTTTCTGTAGTCTCTGCCCTAACACCTTCTGTTAACTTTAAAAGGGGACAAAGGATGAGGGGCGGAGGCTGGACTCCATGCTTTATAGAAAGTTATTTTTATTCTGGGCATTTATTAAGTTTCTTTGATGAAGCTGTTGCTTTCTTTAAGTGTGGTTGAATGTGATTGGTGGATTTATTGATACAATATACACTCTTAGGGCTGGAGAGATAGCTCAGTCAGTCAATTCCTAGAACCCAAGTGGTGCCAAATTAAAGCCAGTGTGGTGGTTTTGTGTGGTGGTAATCCAACTGAGGAGGCACAGACAAGGTAGCTAGTCAAAGCCACAGGCCTTGGTAAGAGACCTTATCTCAAAAGGTGGACAGAGTCAGAACAATACCCAAGGTTGTAGTTTGGCATCCATACTACCGTGTGTGTGAGTGTGTGTGTGTGTGTGTGTGTGTGTGTGTGTGTGTTCGAACACACACACAATCAATTGATACTTTTGAACGTACTATTAAGTATGTTCTAGGAAAGGCACTGTGCAGGTCTGGGCTGGATCATGGCACCTATCAAATCGTGTACTTGCCAAGAAGGGATGTGAGTGATTTCACGTGATGTCACTTGTTCTGAGTCCTCATCTGTACAATGGAGCTGAACATGTGGTTTCCACCTGATTCCCTTCATAGGGTTGCTGTGAACAAGCAATTAAATAATAGACCCTTTGAAGGCCCTTTGAAAAGCTAACTGCAAAGGAAAACACAGGCTGTTATTTGGTACTGAAATATGCACTTTGCAGTTAACTGTGGTAACTAGGGGTCTCTGTTTTGCTAAGCTGGTTTGGGCTTTGCAAACAGTTAGGGGAGGAGATAATGAATGTAATGAGATGACTTTGAAAAGTTAAATGCAATGTAAGAGCACAAGGTATTATTATTTGCGAGGGAATTATCCACGTACAGGAACATCTGTGGGCTCCGAGGGTCTTATTGCTGAGCTGGTGCCTAAGGAGCTGACAAATGAAAGGCTGTAGGAGGAAACTTTGCGCATGTCCCCAGGGCCAAGCTGCCAGAGGTGGGCTGCCTGCCTGCTTGCTCTGCCTAGCACCCTTAGTTTCTCTGCTGTGGGGTTATCCTACCTTTCTATCTGTTGCAAGTGGAGGGGTTGAGGGTACTTGATTCCAACAGGAATACAAACACAGTGACTTAGGGAGTCGTACCATGCCTCTAAAGCTCAAAGCACAAAGAGTAATCTCATTGCAAATTTTACATTATGATAGTCGTATATCAACACATTTTATTTCCTAGTTTGGTTATAGTCTCATAATGTGAAGAGTTCTATAATAATCAAATGAGTTAATTTTCTAATTATTTTACATGATACAACTTCTCCTTCTTCAACATAATATATATTTAAGGGTCAAGAGTGTAGTCCAGTGTAGAATGCTGGCCTACAATGCAAGGCCCTGGGTTCCATTCCCAGAAGCACACACACCCACAGGCAAAAACTTACATATGCGTTTATTTGTGTGTTTGTGTGTTTCTTTATATATTTAAGATTTTTAGTTTTCAAGTCTTGAGTTGATTTTCCACTTTATATAAGTGATTCATATTTTCCTGACTCAAGTTTTATTTGTATTAAAGATTTATATTTCCTAAAGCATTATTTAAAAACAACAACAACAACAACAACAACAAGTCATCTCACTCCAACAGAACATGGGCAGGCAGTATGCAAACTTTGAGACACCAAGTACCTCTTATTGGAACAGAATTATACAGACCTGGTGGTCTACAAAATCTATTGAAATGTAGTTAACTACAAGGCAAATATTTACTTCCTAGAATTTCATTTGTAACTCAGGTATATATAATATGCTTTAGGGTGTATCCCTCACCCTAAGCCCCAGCCGATGACCTTACCTAGGGCCTTGCTTTTGGTAAGAGATCTGCCAATGAGCTAAATCTCCAACCCCTGAAAACTAATGTGATAATGAGGTGTTATGATGCTATCATGATTATAGCAACAGGATGTGTTATTCATTATCTATCACACGCTAAACACTATTGCCATTGCACTGATGAAACTCATTTTAATTAAGAATATGTATGCACGGCCAGTAAGATGGCTCAGAATGAAAAGGCACTTTAACTTGAATTCAGTCTTTAAAGCCACTAGAAGGTGGAATGAGGGAACCAACTCTCCAATGTTGTCCTTTTACCGTCCCCCTCATTCCCCTGCCCAACCCCCTGCCTACCCTGTGCACACACATGCACTTACACAGAGGCTAAATATAAACAAATAAGTTAAAAATGGGTCATATGGAAAAAATAGCCAATCGGTGGCTTAAGCTTGTAACCCTGACTCAACATGAGGTAAAATTATTCTCTTCTCCTTATTTTATCTCTCCCAAGCCTCAGTTTCCCTGTGTGTAAAGTGTACTCTCCTTATGTACCTGACTTCTGTTGTACTCCGGAAGAATTTGCTTACAGATTTTTCATTACAGGGTTTGTGTTGGAAATAATTTTTTTTTTTAATTTTTAATAGACGGAGTAAGTACAGCAAAGCAAAACAGGAAGCAGATGAAGAGAAACATTTGAATCAAGGTATAAAATTGGTTTCAAAAAATAATTTCATTTATTTTAGATCATGCTTTGTGTTGTCTAACTTAGAAATGTTGGTTAATGTGCCTATGAATATTTACATAATATATTCCTTATCCAAATAACATTCTTCAAGGAAGTCAAGGTGCATTTGGTGATTCAAGACTATGTAAATCGATGTTAGAGGCAGGAAGTTCTTTAGACTCTGCTTATTATATCCTCTGCTCTGGAAAAATATTTCTGAAGCTGGGCAGCAAGATGCAATGGGTCATTATTTTCTTTCTTCTTGTTTTTTGGCTTTTTGAGACAGGGTTTTTCTGTGTAGCCTTGGCTGTTCTGAAACTAGCTCTGTAGATCCAGTTGACCTTGAACTTACAGAGATCCCTGTGCCTCTGCCTCCCAACTGCTGGGATTTGATGTGTGCACCACCACTGTGCAGCGGGGTTATTATTTTCATAAGCAAAAACAAAATGGGTGTGGGAATAATAAAAGAATAAGTAGTTATGTAACAGGGGCAGGCAATGCTGGAATGACAGCCATCAAGAATGTTGTAGTGGATTCTAGATGTTGATGTTACAGAAAGTCACAAAGAAGGAAATTCAGAGAAATTGGTGTAAGTCGTTGAAAACACTTCAAAGAAGCCAGATGACCCAGCAGTAATTTGTACAGCACTTTCTGAAATGACAATAGTGCCCTTGGGGGAAAAAAAAATCTACCAACCTATTCAGTTATTCATAATGACTAAGGAAGAGAAAGGGAAAAAGATGGACAGGTTCGGACAATCAAGGAGATTTGGTCAGCTGATAAGGTACATACTCAATTCCCCCAGTAGAAAGCTGTCAGTCATGCATGTCACCAGCTGCCTCAGAGCTCACCTTCTCAACTTGCTTGTGAGTGTGACACACGGCTGAACTGTACTCATAGTATTTACACATTGAGCCAGGCTACATACAGCACCATCTCCAACTCAATGTACTCTCCCAAACAGAATGCAAGTGGAGGTCCAATTTAAGAGTCTTTATTCTCAAGTCGCTGGTGGCCAGTATTCCTCCTGTGTATATTAATCTAGGTTTCATATGAGTGTTCATATTGGTCGTGTATTCACTTGGTCCAGATATGGGGGAAATATAGGGAAACCCTATAGACAGGGCCTGTGGAAAGTGAAAGTGCCTATGGTCCTTGATAAGGGAGAGTATTTGAAAGGAGGGGTAGGACTCTAGTATTAGGACAATGGACTAGGAGCCTTTGGCTGGGAGAAAGTATCAAGACAACTCCTTCCAAATTTCCTGATAAGTAAGATTCACTTATCCTCCAAGGATGAGTTGTTTTTAAACTCTTATCCTTGAAGTGTATGGACATTCCAGGAAGTTGGTAGAGCTGCAGTGTCTTAAGCAGCTAGCAAATTCTTTGTTTACCCACTAATGAAAACCAGAGCAAGAATTTAAACATTTTCATATGTCAATGACCATATAGCTAACCCAACTTTTCCTATGTGAATTTTTTTTTAAGACCTCGACCCTTTATGTTTATTCATGTTTCCTGGGATATGTGCAGCAGCCTTATTCCCTTGTTCATTCTTTAGGTGTTAGAACTTACGTGGATCCCTTTACATACGAAGACCCCAACCAGGCAGTTCGAGAATTTGCCAAAGAAATTGATGCATCCTGCATTAAAATTGAAAAAGTCATAGGAGTTGGTAAGTGTCTGAGTGTCTATCTGTCCAATAAGCCGTTTTCCTTTGTGAATGTTAAATAGGTATATAAATTAAAATGTAAATCACACAATTACATTCGAATGTGGGAGTATATTTTGTAAGTATATATATGTAAAATTTATGCATTGAGATTTCCTTATTCAAAGTATGAATGTGATGTTCTGTAAGGAACTCTGGTGCAAATTTGTGCTAATTTTCAGGAAAATGAGCATGGGGATAAAATAAATGAACACATAAGATCTGTAGGCAGACTGGTTAGATCCAGAATATTCTAGTTCTTGCTAGCTGTAAGACTTTGAGGTTTATGCTAAGCTTGAGTTTCCTATGATAAAATGGAGAATAGTGCCTAAGACAAAGCTTTGTGTGTGTGTCGTGGGGGGAAACTAAATGAAATCATCGCTCGGGTTCACTGGCTAAGTGCCTGATACAATGAAGGTTATTTATTGCATCTCGAATGTATTTCTGGTGCATCTCCAATTCTTCTCCCCCAGGTGAATTTGGAGAGGTCTGCAGTGGGCGCCTCAAGGTGCCAGGCAAGAGAGAGATCTGTGTGGCTATCAAGACTCTGAAAGCTGGTTACACTGACAAGCAGAGGAGGGACTTCCTGAGCGAGGCCAGCATCATGGGACAGTTTGACCACCCAAACATAATCCACCTGGAAGGCGTTGTCACCAAATGTACGTGGGTCAGCCCCCTCTACAAAGCTAAGTTGAGAGTTACAGGGAAATTAAATACACATTTTCTTTCTAGGGAAATGACAGATGGAACAGGCCCACTGATTACTAATAGGAGGAAATCAGTGCAGTGCAGGACCAGTCATTAATCTTTCAGTCAGCTCTAAATGGGTCTGTGACTGCAGCTGATGCCCTGTCTCCAAGGCAGCTTGTGTGAGATTGGGGGGGAATTAATATTGCAGAGTTTTGGGTCCGCCATACCATCTTTCAAATCTTTGCTAGACCAAACTGATCGTCACAAGGTAGGTACAAGCAGATGGTAAACGAAATGAATTTCATGAAAAGCAAACCAAAAGCTTGCCACACCTTGTATTGGAAGCTTGGGTTCCAGATGCAGGGAAGGAAACTTGGGAATCTTTATTATATCGGGGTGGCGGGGGCAGGATTCGCTTGTCTGCTCTGCCTGATTTATGGCTGTTGCCATTCAGCACCTATTTACAGTAACACCTGGTTTGAAGCGTCCTTCTTTAGCCCATTAGCATTAACTGAGCTTGTGAACCACGCTTCAGTTAAAATACGACACAGCTCAACAGATGCGTTTTGTGAAGCAAACCCTGTGTACATCTGTATGACTGGCTAAGACTGACTTATAAAGTGCCACACGGATAGGGCACCTAAGCAGTGTGTGTTATTTAAGGTGGCTCTGCTCCAGGAGCCCTGGTACCTAACTACAGTAGTACAAGTCAAGGATCTTGTAAGCCTGGGGCTCTGTCTTTAGTGAGGCCAAGATATCTCTTACTTGATTTAAGACAGCTGTGAAAAACTTGTCAATCAACAAGTGGCAAGTGTCAGCATGGCTGCTGCTTCAGTGAGTGAGAAACAGGAACGGGGTGGGGGGGCGGTGTAGAGTAAGTTAAGTTGGAAAATGGAGACATTTGTAGTAAGCCACAAAGTATTTCGGAAGAAGAAACCAGAAGGTTGCCTTTAAAAAGAAAAAAAAAGTGAAAGCAAGCACCTCAAATATAAGCCGTTATATGAGTTCTTCTAGTAAAGATTCTTAGGAGCTAGCAAGATGATTTAGAAGCTTGCTGCCAAACCTGAGGTCAGGAACCCATGTGTCTGGGAGGAGAGAGCTTAACTCCTGAAGATTGTCCTCTGACCTTAGGACAAGTTCTGTGGCATACATACCTCCATCCCATGACTAAATGTAATTCAATGTTTTCTTTTAGTTTTTAGGACAGTTTCCTGGGCCTCCTCTAAAGAAGTTTGAAGAGGTGGGGTAGGAGTGGGAGGTAGAGGGTTGGGGTTAGGGGAGAACCATCTAAGCTTCCATTCCTAAAGGACTTGGTAAAGGTGGTACCAGTACCACGAGTCCAGGATCCCTGTTGAGAATAACTGACCGGATGGTGAAGCGTTTGCTCACATCTCTATTGGGAGCTCGTGGTGGCTTTGGTGGGTTGGTCGGTCCTTTGTTGCACTTTTCTCATCTGTTTAAAAAAAAAAAATTGAGATAAATAAAACTTGATTTGAAAGGTTATTTGGAAAGAAAATAAAATATTTAGAGTGGCTTGCACACTGGCAAATTAAACACACACACCTCTTTAAGTGTTAACGGTGTTATTATGTCTGAAGGAGTATACCATTCCTCACATTGAGAATTCTTCAAAACAGGAAATTCGATGCTGGGGATGTATAATTTTCTATCTCAGGTGAAGGCTATAATTAGCATAGAATAGTTCTATTTGCTTTTTAAGATTGGTTTTACAGACAGGATATTTTTTCTGTTGCCTGTGGCCTTCGAAGTTGCCCAAGCCCCTCACTACTTTAATTAAAAGATAACATTCCCTTTAAATACTTCTGCAGCTCCCTTTTCTAGAAAGGGGGCTCTGTTCAACTCGGGTGTTTTTCCTGCCGCAGACACTGATTTTCATAGCACCTCTGCTGAAGAGAGAAGAAACAGGGGATCTTTGTGTTAAAGTCCCACCGCGCCTTTAAAAACCCAGAGCTATTACAGCTGTAACTGTTACAAACGACTGCCTTCATTTGCATAATGCAGTTGTCGCTGAATTAGAATGCTTTAAAAATTTCCACCAGAGAAGTTGTTGGGGTCCCACCCTTCCTGCTACCCACCCCCAATCCCTGTGTGTGGTAGGGAAGTAGTCATCTTCATTCCTGAGCCCACCCCTGCTCAGTTTTAGAAGCCTTTCTGTGAAAGAAGGTATTCTCTTTTTAGAGACCTCTTAAAAGATTGTGACAAATGGATACTTTTAATAAATGGACATGAGAATACAGAAAACTTGAGAAGGTGGCAGGAAGAGTCAAACTAGGAAGCTATGAGGGTTTCGGTTGTCAATCAGTTCCCGGAGAAACTATCTAGATGGGGGTGAGGGGTTATAAATTCTCCCCACTCCTTTCTCCTGGATCTTCTCTTTGGGAGCGCTCCAGGGGGAACCAGTGAAATGGAATTAGGTGTTAATGCTTGGCTGGAAGAGGTGACTTTTCCTCATTAGTTGACAAAGTAGCTTTTGATTGAGGCAGGATGATTGAAACTTACATAGGTGATTTTGTTGTGTCCGAGGACTTGTAGAGGACAAATGCCCTGAGATCTACCACAGGGACTGGGCAGAGAAAGTAGCTCCCAAGGACCCTTTTCAGCAAGACCAGAAGTGTTCTGTCTACACCACGGATCTTACTTTCATTTCTCACTGGAAGTCTGAATGCGGTCACTCTCTAGTTTAAAGTGCTTGCCTCTGAAATATGCCTTAGACATGACAGTAAACATGTACACACAGAGAGAGGGATGGAGAGAGAGCAGAGGAGAGGAGAGAGAACATAATAAATTGGACCTAGTTGAAATGAAAAACTTCAAAAGTCTTGCCTCTGAAGTAAGGACATTTCGTTCCCATCTCACCTCACTGCCCTCCACCCTGCTAATTCTCAACTTTGAGTTGAAAATGTACTGATTTACAATAAGGAATGCTTTTTAGCAGTGAGATATCCCAGCATAATTTCTGACTAAATCAGTCAGCAAGAACAATAAAACAAATATTTCCATCAGCTCAGGTTTTCGTGCTGTCACACATTTTCTCTTATTGGAAAAAAATAACAGGGGCACTAACTACATTTGCTGGCACCCCCTTAGAAAGAAGGAATTTTAGCCCTGAACTCATTGCCTATGGCTGAGAATTAAAGAAAGGTTATTTCCTAAGAACTAAAGTGAAACAAAAAGTTTGATTTCCCCAAGTCACATAAACCTTCCAACCATTTTGCTCCAATACTGAAGTCAAACTCTTTCTCAGATGAAATTCTTTAGAGATTTTATATGTTTATAATTTATTTATTTATTAAAAATTTCATGCAATATATTTTGATCATATTCTTTTTCTTCCCCCGACTCCTCCCAGATTCTCCCTCCCTTCTTACCCAATCACCTTCTTGTTCATTCTCTCTATAGGGAAAAACCAAAAAGCCTGTTGTGTACTTTTTCTTCTCCCGACTCCTCCCAGATTCTCCCTCCCTTCTTACCCAGTCACCTTCTTGTTCATTCTCTCTATAGGGAAAAACCAAAAAGCCTGTTGTTCAAAAAGAGATTTGTTTATTTGTTAAGATAAGTTGTTAAAAGAAGCAAATGAGAAAGATGAATGGGATGAGAAAGTACAGAGCCCAGGACCAGAGCAAGAGAAGGGGGCTGAGTTCTATACGGTGTATGTTTCAGGTTATATGGTTGAATAATGAAGTATTCAATGTAACTCCAGCCCTATGAAACTAGAGTTTCTCTAAATAAAGACGAAGCTTTCTCTGTCCACAGACTTTAGCATCACATAAGCTGCTTTTCTGGGGATAAAAATCAATGAATTATTCTAAAGATACACACACACACACACACACACACACACACACACACACACACACATGAATTTCAACAGGCCTGCCCATTTATCATTTTCATCTGTTGTTTAAAGAGAGCAATTATCCATTCATGTGATCCCTGGGTACCAGAGGCCACTTTTGTTAAGGACCCTGTCAACAAGCCATCCGAAGGGTTAACCTTCCAGATGGAATTTAAGCCTACTTGTCTTTTGAATATTTCATTCCTAGCTTCCCACAGCTGAGGCATAAGCTTGGCTTGTTTTAATTAAATTAGATCGCACAAGACAGGTGTCTTGGCAGTAAAATTTTGCACAGCCAATTTTTATCTCATTAACTGCATGGCTCATCAAGGGCTTTTGTTTTTCTTTTGGAAACTCTAGGTAAACCAGTAATGATCATAACGGAGTACATGGAGAACGGCTCCTTGGATGCATTCCTCAGGGTAGGTGCCTACTTTCTATTAGACCAAGGGATACTAGAATCCGGTAACTAACAGGGATGCTAGGATCCAGTAACTAACAGATTCCTTGTATACATTCTGTTCAGTTGCATTTGTTGGAATTTTTTCTACCGGGTTCAAGAAGAGGAGAAATGGAATCTGTGATTCTTAAGGCTATTGAATAATCCATGGGCAATGAGGGGAGTATTTGATTTATTCTCACACCGTGGAGCTCTTTGAGCCATAGATTCATTAAACTTGGACAATTTCCATCTATCACAGGAAGCCAACCCAGCTCCACTCGTGAATTAGTGACTTTGCTCAGAAGGGCCCGGAAATAATGCCGAGTTTCATTGCGTGCCGGATACAGATATTCAAAGAGAACACAGTAATAAATGCTTGGTGATAATTGATTTGGCCTAATGCTAATGGGATTGTTCCCTCTCTCTTCCTATGTAGAAGAATGATGGCCGATTTACAGTCATTCAGCTGGTGGGCATGCTCCGTGGCATCGGGTCTGGGATGAAGTATTTATCTGATATGAGCTATGTGCACCGAGACCTGGCTGCTAGGAACATCCTGGTAAACAGCAACTTGGTCTGCAAGGTGTCTGATTTCGGCATGTCCAGGGTCCTTGAGGATGATCCCGAGGCAGCCTATACGACCAGGGTAAGGACCGTTCGACACCTCTGGCATGGCATCTACTCCAATGAAACTGATCCTTTCTTGTCATCTTGATGTTGGAACTTTTCCTAATTTTTTTCTTCAACTTTACTTATCCTTCAGGCCTTCTCCACATTGCTATATTCATTTTTAAACTTTGCCTGAGAGAGAGAGAGAGAGAGAGAGAGAGAGAGAGAGAGAGAGAGAGCAGGAGAGAGAGAGAGACAGACTAGCAGATATCCATTTTATAGAGCCAGAAATGACAAGTAAAATGAATTCTCTTTCTCTTTAAATTTTGTTGGGCGAAGTGTTCATGAACAATGAGGAGGGTGTCTTTAAAATTGAGCCAAATCAGAAGCCACTATCAAGGGTGATTTACTCAACAAATGACACATTGTTATGAAAATCAGGAGGTTAGATGACTTGTTGTGTAGGTATGCATACATATACTGTATCCCAAATATACATCCACGTGATGCTCAAGTTATCTTCATTTTCTGATTTTTTTTCTGCCATCTATACTCCTTTTTCTATCTGAGCTTTGCAACTTGGTTCTTTCCGGCTCTTCAGGTGTACAGTTTCTTGCCTCTAGATAAGCCAAAGCATTGTTTCTCCTTGTTGGCTAATGAATTTGAGAATGTATGTACATAGTTTATAGAGCATTTCCCAATGTCTAATGGCTTTCAGTGTAGTGCTGATGAGTAGGGATTCGGATACAGTGCTCAGGGTAGGGTCAGGATATGTGCTGTCTTAGCCTCACGACGAGAATATGACATTCTAAAGGAATAAACACAATCCTCTAATAATTCCAATACTCAGGCTGATCCTCATGGGAACCCCATAACTATCTTTGGTGACCTCAGGAGATTTTTATTGTTGTCTTCAATATTGGAAGAGAAGAAACGTCATAGAGGCTTCTAGAAGGATACACGTACATAGTTAGATCCCTCAGCAAAAGGTTGAAAGAAAACATGTGTGTCCATCTGTAGATAAGGTGTATGAACACGGTACATGGGGTTTTCCCAGTGAACCACAGAGCAGGAAAGTAATCCAGGCGATTTATTACCCTGATGAGTAAGCCCTAATAAAGCCAAGGCAGTCTTAAATGATGGCTGCTGGAATCTTGTGTGAGTCTAAACTCAGGTTCCTTTTTTCGGGTAGCACCTCAGAAAATTTGAAACTCAACTAAAAGTACTTTATTTTATATCTAGGGGTTATCAAGAAACATTTGAGGGTGGTTAGTGTAGCTTTGTTTTGTTTTTTGAAAACATTTTATCCCTTTCTGAGTGATAGTTGGCTAATTTGCTATTTTAGTTTTTTTTTTTATTTATGTTAAACAGTAGTCTTTCCTCCATGGAAAAAAATGCTTACTTTCCAAGAGCCTATTACCTTTTATGCATATTATGTTTGTCATGTTACAAAAGGCTAGGAAGACAGTGTGGTAGGTAGAAATGTCCAAATTTGGCTTCCTTTGTTCATTGTTTCTGATGCAGTGTTAAGCACTGTCTTTCCAAGACTGGATGAGAGAATGCAGGAAGAAGGCAAAACAAATGTAAGCCGCAGATCCTTTGATATGCCCCAAATAACATATGTATTTATGTAAAACCTGAGATTTCCTTTCTATAACATTGCC